ATTATAGATCATGTTGGGCCTTACAGCTCAGGGCATGAACTTGGCTTCAGTTTTAAATCTGATAGCCAGCCTTTTCAGCAGTTTAAATGGAGAAATGAAATTATCTGATTATCTCAAGAATATTCCTCTGGATTTTATTTGAAAAATTATCCACATAGCACATTAAAGGAGAAAGACCAATTACTCTTTCAATAAAAACAAACACCTTCAGGAAGTCAACAGGTCTTTAGCTTTATAAAATTAAATTCACAGATTATTGAGGCAGTTCACCTCATAACAGTCACTGCCTTGCAAATCTGATGACCCTCATTCAACCCTGAAAACTCACTCTGGAAGGAGATAACTGCCTCCTGAAAGTTGTCCTCTCTTCTTTACATGCATACCATTGAGGTTAGCTGTGGCTTGTTCTGCTCCTCTGATCTTTCAGAATTCACCCAAATAGTTGGCACTGAGTTTTTTCTTAATAAGACCATTTAAGATTTGTGTTACACACCATGGCACATGTGCCTCCATACACACTTAAGCACATGTGAGCGTCAAGAAAAAATAGAAAACATTAAAACAACACTGTCATAACTCCCAAATATTATGAATGCCCACAATGAAAACTAAATGATATGAGTAGACAATTTTAATATTCAGAATTTCCTGAATTCCAATTTATATTAAATCTTTAACATGTCTATATGCCAGGTATAATGTTCATAAAGTTTTCGAAATATGTAAAAATCTATATAATGTTAGTTTTGTAAGGTTTATACTTAAAAACTTGAGAATTAACTTACAAGGTTCCCTGAATCTCAGTTAATATGTATGATTTAACCTAAGTTGGACAATTTGGCAACTATTAATTATGTTCTAAATTATTAGCCCATTTTATAACCCAATTTTTAAAATTGTGCATATATTCTCTTCATGTCCATCAGAAATAATACAGTGAAAGATTAGTGACACATGATTGTAAAAGATAAGCAAGAAAATCACTCATTTGCTTAATAACAAGTTAGTAATTGCTATGAAGATTCTATATATGAACTACTAAATTAAAATGACAGGGATTTTTATTTATTGAATGGGATTAAGAACTCCAAAAGATAGCACAAAAATACAGAAATTTAATTTTTAATAGTCAGCACTCAGATAAATGGACGAAACAAACTTCCACTAAACACTATTGAAACTTGAACATACATTCAGCAAAAACATAAATAATTGCCGTCAGCTAAAATATAAATAATTGCTAGATTCTTACGTTCTTCCATATGAAAATGAACATGGGGATTTAGGTCTTAAATGTAGAGAATAAAATTCTCAAGCCGTTAAAAAGTGGACAAGGCATCACCATTGGCATGACCTATGCTTAGGAAATCGTCAGTGTACAGGTGTGGAGTTTAAACCTCCAAGCAAAGCACTAGACTAGATGCAGAGGTTTCAGGCCAGGACCTCACAGTGAGAATAAAAGAGAGAACAGAAAAGAGAAAGAAGGAAAAGGAGAAGGAAAGATGGAAGGGAGAAAGGTGGAAGAGGGGAGGGAGGGAGGAAGGGAAAGATTGAGAGAATTTAGCCAAGTTAAAAAGAAGAACTGTTTCATAGCCTACACGTGCAAAGATGTTTTGAAAAGTTTGTGAAATATGAGATAATACATTTCACTACATTATCCATCAAAGTACATTATCCAAAACAAAATGATGCCTCTGTGTAGATTCATAAGGAACATCGGCACTGTATAGATTAATAAGGAATGGAATGGACAAATAAAAATCAACTTAGAAATTACTATGAATTTTCCCCCGAATAGAAGAAAAAGAGCTTATAATCACAAGAGATTAATCTCATTAAAATGGATAAATATGCAAATTGTAGTGATTATGTATAAATTCCATTACAATTAATTGGGGAACTACTACTACAGGATGAAGTGCTTACTGGGACTTGCAGCAATGGGAATTCAATCCATTATTGACTGAAGGGAAACTGCCTAAGAATTTTGGAGAACAATTTACTATGGCCAATGATATGACTTCCTCAAACATACAAGTATACTATTTGATATATTCTTCAGAAAATATTGTCTCTAGCACAAGACCATGCAAAAGTGTTTATAGAAGGAGTACACACGATAACTAAAACTTTGAAAACATCCAAATGACCACAAAGAGAATATTCTAGAAAATTAACGGTAATGACTCAACTATTTTCACACATTGACATAGATTAACTTAATAATAATAGTAAGTGGGGAGCAAAAGTCATTGTGTGTGATTAGACTTTAAGTAAATTCAAACACAAGCTAACACAGCAGAATGTGCTTAAGGGTGAATACACAGGTGGTAATAACTCTGGAGAAAAGTAAGAGGGTAAGCATGAAATTTCAGTCTTAGAGGAGATACAATAGCACATGTGGCCTGGATATGGTACATATAGATGTTTATTTAATTTTGAGACTCTATTCATGTGTGTCTGAATGATTGAAAATGTTTTAATTTAGGATATATTTATATATCCCCCAGAGAGCCATTAAACAGCCTTAACATTAGTCACTTTAAAAAAAAAATGACAGCTAATTTGTATTGAAAAAGGGCTACATTGTCAGGTTGTTTGAATGTCCCTTGATCCATATAGAGATAAACCACAAAATAGGTGCTATGAAGCAGAAATAATGGGGAAGTGCTAAATTTTGTGTCCAAAATTTGTTTGCACAAACTGAAGGTATAACCATTCATGTAAAATTAATTAACATGACTTAATATTTACAGTTTTGGAGTCTGGAATGTTGACCCAGCAATTAAGAATGCAAGCTGCTCTTCCAGAACACCTTAATTTAGTGACCACCACCAATGTCCAGTAACTCACAAATATCTGCTCCAGGTGCTCTGATGCCTTCTTCTGGCATGCTTGGGCACTGCACTCGTATGCACATACAGGCACACACACACAATAAAAATAAAATAAAATTTAAAAGTAATTAGTTATTATTAGCTCACGCCCAAATAACTGTTTTACTTTACATATTATTTATTTATTAATTATTTAGTCATTAAGGAATTTCTGCAAAGTAGAATAGCAAAGGAGCAATTGATTTGCTATGTATATAGTTCATAAATGGAAAAGCTAGAGTTTTAACCCAGCTGTGTCTCTGTCCCCTAGGTCTGTCATTACACCATATTCAAATATTACATTACTTTTGGTTCTGGGGATTGGTACAGGTAGATTGAGAAGAACTGGATCTTATTTAGCTCTCCATGGTGTTAGCTAATTGATATTCATTATGTTAATGGGACTTAAAGATTCAATGTTACATAAACTTTGGCTAATATCTACCAAAATTATTCTGAGATTCAGCAATATGCTTAGTACTAAGCCTCCATTCAACATTTTTGATGACTTTATTATTATTATTTTGTTACAGATTCAGTTGACAAGGTTCAGTAAACATCTCCAAAAAACCTTTTGTGTCCTGAAGCATACGGAACAGATGGTCAGATTAATACAGGTGGACTAAAGCTGACAGAAATAAGGGATGAGAGGATTAACAGGTGAAGCAGGTGGTGAGGAGAACAGTTTTGTGATTTTTTTCCTTGGCTCATGGTCAATAAAGGAGGGGGAAGAGGATATCTCGAAGAGATTGATTCTCTTAAAACAGGAATTATCTTTGGAACAAGTTGCTTTTGTGGAATAGAGAGGTGGGTTATGCTTGATGAAAAAAAAAGAAAAGATTGTGAGAAAAGAGTGAAAGGAGCTATAATTAGATCAGCTCTACCTGACTTAGAACAGCCCTCTACAGTGTCAGGACAATGTAACACTCTCGCTGCAATTATCCCGAGGGGATGGGTTTGTAGAAGGTTGACCAGGATGACCTCATCCTGGGTAGCCAGAGCTATGCTTCTGACTTGACCCAGATGTAGTACCTCACTGCTGTTCAAATATCTTTCCAAACAGTAGTTACCCTATTTCTGTGACCCCCCCCCCCCCCTCACTGTGAAAGAGCAAAGTCACTTTGGCTGAGCGAGAGAACGAGGACTGCCTGGTATGTGCCATTCCTTTCCATGGATTTCTACTGATGTGTTCTTCTGAATTTTTAATTGCAAAACTACATTTTTTTTTCAATCTTTTTACAAGGACTGTTCCTGTAATTTCTTTCTGTTAGCTGTATCACCTGGCTACACAAATGCAAGCCTAGTTGGTTCTATTGAACTGTTAGCTCAAGTATCACCAACTTCAGAGTTGTTACAGGTGGTTATAATGCCTAAAACTTGTGGCACAACCGAGTTGCTTTGCATTGCCATTTAGATATAATTCACCCCAATGTGTGAATCTGGCTCCTGTTTACCAGGTCATGTCTCATTGATAAATCCCAAGAGCACCCATAGAGTTATTTTTAGGGCTGGGAAACAGAAGATAATATAGATGTGATGATTTTCAATGACCTCTTCTGCAGCCAAGGGGAGGCCATTCATTATTTGTCTTGTCTATGCAATTCCAAGTCATTTTGTTACTGTGGGATAATTTTTTTGTACACTAGTTTAATAAAATGCTGATTGGCCAGTAGTTAGGCAGGAAGTATAGGTGGGATAAGCAGATAAGGAGAATTTTGGGAAGAGGAAGACAGAGTCAGGAGATGCCAGCCTACCACCCAGGGAGCAGCATGTAATGGCACACAGGTAAAGCCACAGAACATTCGGTAACATATAGATTAACCAAAATGGCCTGAGTTTAAGTGTAAGAGCTAGTCAGTGGTAAGCCTGAGCTAATGGCCAAGCAGTTATAATTAATATAAGCTTCTGGTGATTATTTTATAAGAGGCCACGGGACCGCAGGGTCAGACTGGGATACAGGAAATCTTCTGACTACATTTCATTTCTGCCCATTGTTGATCCCCAGTGTTCCCATAAGACAGATACCCTTACTGTATGCAGAAGAAAAACTGACATGAGAGCCTTGGGGTGACAAATGAAACACGGAAGTAAAAGCAGCATTTTGTCTTACTCTGAAGTCCGTACCTGAGCGCAAAGCGTCCTTCTGAATGCTTTCGTAGTCATGCCAGTCTTTTCTTCTCAGACCATCTGTCCACGAATAGAATTGCCCATCTCCCAGTCCTAGTGGAAATGTCTGTGGAAAAGGAAAGCATTCAAGCATGAAAAAGGAGGTATTTTCTTCTGCATGGTTGGTAAACACAGCACAGCACATAACGGGCAGTGCAAGAATATTTGTTAATTAAATGGCTCTTCTGAATATCTTGAGATGAAAATATTCACATTCTGAACTCCCTTTTTAACATCTAAAATGCGAAATGCCCCGCCCACAGCCCCATATCATTAAACATTTTATTTAATCTAGAGACTTTGTTGAGTACAGCTTATCCTTCCTAGTTGTTTCCATTTGCTTAATGTGTAGATATTGACCTGCTGAGTTAATTTTGTTTGTGACTGATAAAGTTTTATTTGTCTTGGTCAAAAGTATTTGAATGGTGTTTTAATGATATTAGTAACCGTTCATTGAATGCTCACTATGAGATTGGTACTATAGTAAATGCTTTACATACAGAGCTTTTAAGTCCTAATAGCAATCTTAGGTGACAAATCTCCATTTTTCTGGAAATTGGACTGAATCCAAGAGAATTAGAACAACTTTATTGAAGGCACTATGCCCACACCAAAGATTGAACCCATTCTTTGAAGACTGACCTTGTGTCCTTAATTGACACCAAAGTACTGTATTCTATCTGATTTCCAGTAAAGTACAGTTTGTGTTTATACTGAAGGTTCAAATGAGCAGCCAGAATTCAACTGTAGTCAGGACACATATCTTATATATCCCCCAAACCCAATGTGTTGTGATGTCGCCATGGAAATATCCCTTGCTTACATTGTTAGAATCACTTTATTTCATAAATTATGTTCATGGTTTAGAATAAGAAACAAAAATTACTTTGAAAGAATTTATTTTTACAGTCATAGTGTTCACATAAATAGGTTATTCATTACATAAAGAAGCAAATTATGCAAGGTAGGAAAAGTCAATTTGTTGAAAGATGAATAAATTCAATTACATATTTTTCCCTGAGAGCATTACCAAGGCAAACAGAATATCTTATCTGTTAGTTTTAGATGTCATTTCCATTGTATGTATTTCTTTACCATTACTGTATCTTTATAGCTTAGAGAATAATACAGTATTTTGAAGGGATAGAAATAAAATATAATGCTTAAAAAAGAACAAGAGGGTTAAGTCAGAGAAAAGATTTTCCTATTTAGATGACAAGTTTACATCGTTCAGATTTTTTTTTTTTTTGTAATAGTATAGGTCGTTGTGGTAGCAAACAGGAAAAGACACAGAAGAAAGATAATGGTGAGTACTCATCAAATAGTAAGAGGAATGAAGATGAAAAGAATGAATATAGGAAAAAAAGAACAGTAAAGTAGAAGAGGGGGGAACTATATGAGATTGGTAACCACCACTTAAAACTACACTAGCACATTAGCAAAATCCAGCTAGACATTATAAGGAACTGAATTTAAAGTATACACCTTGTGGGTTATATCAGCCTTGTATTTATTTATAGTGAACAATATAAAAATCTATATTTTATAGATAATAATTATTTTAAAAAGCACCTTGCAGATGAACAGATTTGACACAACACTTGGAAATAATTTTGTGAAACACAAACTCTCTCTAGTTACTTAGCATGCTGCATTCCCTTCGTTTTGGCATACTTAAGGTAGAGAACTCATTGTAATTCTTAATTCAGATTTATTGAACACAGAGTTGATCTTTATTTTCTCCACAAAAGAAAGGACATAAAAGAGACCAATACATCTGGAAAACCAATAGTTGGATTGTCATGAACTTATCATAAGTAGAAAGAGAAAAAAATCTTGTAAGACAGCCTAAGGATTTGAGGACAAAATTTCAATAACACCTAAGAACAAGAAGCATCAGTTATTCCTGAGAGTAAGGTTAGACGTGATTAAAAGATTGGCACCTTTTATACAGGGAAGCTGAATCCGGTTTCTATCTCGACCTGCAGCAAGGAGATTTCTGAGGTCCACCCACTCTACTCACCTACCTACAGATGACAAAATCTGTTTCTTGACTGCATGTCTTCATTTACTGAAAAATTAGGTTTTGTGTCGGTCTGTCTAAAAACCATTACTAGCCCACTTGTCCTTTTCCACTGTACTTCCAGAATGCTGCCAGCTCAAGGCTAGAACCAAAGATAGAGAAATCCCTGCATGAAGCGAGAATCACAAGGAAGAGATGTGGCCCTGGATCCTGCCATACAGCCAGTACTTATGAGAGATCCCCTCACCAGCAAACTCTTTACACATAGTGCTTAATGTCACCATTCACTTTATTTGGTTTGTTAGTATGGCTATGGAACCAAGAGTTGCCAGACTGCTGAGAGAAATGGTAACAGATAATTTGAAAGTCTAAAGATATTGCAAACTTGAGAGTACACAAAAACAGTACATGCTTAACAAAGTAAAAATTTAATTCCGTTAACGCTTTACAGAAAGCACTTCCTTAGAACAGGAATGACAGAAAAAAAAATTTAGACCCTTGAAAAGGACTTTGGAAAAGTAATAATATGCAAGAAAAGAATAATTACAGAAGAGTTTGGGAAATGAGTGTCAATGTGCTTAAGAAATAGGAAGAAAACAAATGCCAACAGAGATAAAAAGATACAGCAGTAAAGGAAGACAGACCCTCCACTTATAATCAGACACAGAGGATGGAAGCTGCTCCCAAAGAGGACTCCATTGTGAAAATAGAACCTAAAACAAAGAGATGAAATTGTCTCTTTATTTTCTAAAAACATGGGAAAGACTCAGACATTTTAAAAGAGATTGAGATTAATTACTAATGTGTATATAAAAACAACTGGGGCTGGGCATGTTGGTTCATGCCTGAATTCCCAGCACTAGGGAAGCTGAGGGAGAAATTTCACAAATTTCAAATGAGCCCAGTCTACATCAGGTGAAAGAGTAGCCTCCAACAAGTTTCAAATAAAATAAAAAAATAGGAAAAAGAGAAAACAGGCTAGGGAGGCAGCTCCATGAGTAAAGTGAGAGTCACAAAGCCTAAGGACCTAAGTCTTTATCCCAAACACTCACTTAAAAGGGCAGGCATGGGGACATGTGACTGTAATCCTAGTATTAGAGTAAGAAATTCGATTACTCCAGATCATTGGCCAGACGTGTTACTCTAAACTGTAAGCTTCAGGTTTAGTGACAGACCCTGTCTCAACATATAAGACAGAGAGCAATCAAGGAAGACACGAGGCATTGACATGTATAATCCCACCATGCTGTGTAGCATTTTCCCCCTAAATGGCATGCTCTGTCTTGGAGGAAAGACCATTCAGACTCTCCAATTCTAAACGGAGTGTCCTTAAGACTCAGGAAATACACAACTCAAGAGTATCAGGAAGTCCCCCAAAACATACTGGATGCGTAAGACCTTATCTTTCTTGAGGTTGCATAAAAATTAAGAGAGCTGAAAAAGATTCCCAAACCTTTGGAGCTGCTTACAAGTCTTTCAGTGAATTCCAAGGCTCTAGGTTTTGTGATTTCTATTCAAAGTCAGCTAGACTTTTAGTGATACACTTGTCTTTGCGTTGTCAGTGCTCTCTAAGTAATCTCTCATTCACACTCCTGTATGTAACACTGTCACACAATAAACTCATTGGTTTATCAAGCTGGGCTTTGTTGTTATTGTTACTTTGATCTGTCTCTGGTTCCCTCTCTGGAGTGAACAGATATTTGTTCATGTCTCCCAAGGAATAGTGTCACCTCAAACCCTACCAAAAAAATAAATATAAAAATAAAATTAAATAAAGCTGAGGGTGATGACATGCTTTAATATAAGTACGTATGAGGCTGAGGCTAGCCTAGGCTACATAGTAAGTTCAAGGCAAGCCTGTAATATATACCGGTATCTTGTAGCAAGACACAACAAAAACAAAAAGTCAAAAACCCTAATGAAGTGGGAAAATTGGGCCAATAAATTAGGCCTGAAGAGAGAGACTGTACATAAGAGCAGGATGATAGTATTTACTATTTGATCTTTTTTTTTTTTTGGTTTTTCGAGACAGGGTTTCTCTGTGTAGCTTTGCGCCTTTCCTGGGACTCACTTGGTAGTCCAGGCTGGCCTCGAACTCACAGAGATCCGCCTGGCTCTGCCTCCCGAGTGCTGGGATTAAAGGCGTGCGCCACCATCGCCCGGCTACTATTTGATCTTGCATAAATATTCTAGCTTGATAAGTCGTTAAACTAATATCAATGACATAAATATATTAAAAGGAAACAACTAGATGAAGCTATTTAAAAATATATTTTTATCTGATAGTAAATTAGCAAATAAAACTAATGTCACAAGACAAAATTATCAAAGGCTAGTAATATACATTTACCTGCAAATTTGAAGCATAAAGCAAAATGAAGATAATAAAGGTTAACTTAAAAAGATAAATAAAGGTTAACATACTTTTTCCAGAAATCAGAGCTTGCAAGGAGGGAGGCAGGGTGAGGGAATTGCTGGTTAACATTACAGATACAGAAATTATTGTATAATTACAGTCACAGGTTTTCTCTGGCAGTAGTTTTCCCTAAAAACACACATCTTGAATACTGAGTTAATTTCTTATGTGTTCTTAAGCATGGTCTGTGCTCCTGTAAGGTCAGCTGGCATAGTAAGAATGTTTGATGATGGAGGAGGTATCACGCTGACATGAAACATCTGACACTATGTCTTAACACATGGTGTCTGAGGATTTTTGTCATAACACTCTTCTGTCTACATCACAGCTTCTCAACAGCCATCAGCACAAATGGTTAGAAATGCAGCCCGTCAGTCCTGACTCGTGTCTATTAATAAAGGAACCTAGGCAGAAGAGGAGGACTGATATCTTGTTCTCGGGTTATTTCTTGGGATTACTAGTGTCCATGTGTGGGAGAGTGACACAATTATCAGAGCAGAAGTTAAACTCATTAGGATACCATGTGCCACAATTTATGGAATAGTCTCCTCACTGATGGCCGGCCCATAAGATTGGATATTATTTCATCCTTCCTACCTCTGACACAATGAAAAGAACCTAAATCAAT